TTACTCAATCAAGAATACGCACACACACACACACACACACACACACACACACACACACATATATATATATATATAAGAAATGATAGCGTAGGCCCACTAGCCTACAGCTACATATGAGCCCTACGGCCTAAATTAATCGGAGCCGACTTGATGATCATGATTGCATTTCAATTTTAATTTTTTTTTTCTATAAATCCAAATCACTTGAAATTTTAAGTGTGTTTTTAAAAATAGGATAATCTAATAAAAATATCAAAAAAAGAATTCGTAAAAACTAAATTGACCAAAATACATTTGAAAAGTGAGGCGAAGAAAGCACGCCTAAAATTTCATGTGATTTGGAATTGTAAAAAAAATTAAAATTAAAATACGAAATGAGGTTGTCACCACTAGATCGGCCCAGATTAAATCTAAGTTGTCAGGCTCATATGTAAGTAGCTATAGGTTAGTGGGCTTACGCCAGCTTTTATATATATATATATATATGGGTTTGTCTAGAGTTAATAACCCCTCAAAATACAAAGGTTTAAGTTAGAAGGGGTTGTGATGGGCATATTTATCAAAACAATCATTAATTTTTTATTATAAAATTATTTAAATAGGTAACTTTACCATTAAGCAATGACAATTTTGAAATTTTTACAAAAGTACAATGTCACTTTGGAAGTTAGTGTCTTGAAACTTTTTTTCTAGAGTGCCATTGTCTTTTAGTTAAAATTTCAACTTTACCTCTTATGGAGATGACAAAAGTACCATTTGTCTTGTGCTAAATTTACAAAATTGTCCCATAAAAGTAATTTTTTTAAAAAAATAGGCTACAAAATTAATAAATCCACCATTCACAACTCTCTCTATCTTGAACCTTTGTAATTTGAAGGGTTGTGAAGTTTAGATTATCCTTATATGTATAGGGTGCGGTTTCTATGAGGTTGCAACCTTAAAAAATCTAATTAAGGCGTACCTTAAAATTTTATCATAACATTTAATTTCGTTGTAAAAAACTCTTAGTATTATCTTAAAATCTATTTTCATACCTAATTATAAAATTTTAAATTCCAAAAATGGTTAAAATCTATAGATATATGAAAATCTTGAACATTGACGGTCTAGATAATGTGTTGCAAGATGAACTATTTTCGGGACTCAAAAACTTTTTTTTTTTCATATTCATATATTTCAATGTCTAGATGATCAATTAAAGGGTTTTTTTCAACATTAAAACAACATTTTCGATAGATTTTTGAGGTGTATCTATGATTCTACATTTTAAGGTTGCAACCTTATATAATCCCATTTATATACCTTAAAATGTAGAACTACGGATGCACCTCCAAAATCCATCAGAAAAGGTTATTTTAATATTGAAAAACCCTATGATTGATCATCTCGATATCGAGATGTATGACTATAAAAATAAAAACATTTTGAGTCTCAAAAATAGTGCATCTTAAAACATATTAACTACACCGTCTATTTTCAAGATTTTCATATGTTTATAGATTTACTTGATTTTAACCATTTTTAAAATTTAAAATTTTATAATTAGATATAAAAATAGATTTTGAGATAATCTTAAGAACATTTTACATCAAAAGTATATATTATGATAAAATTTGAAGGTACACCTTAGTTGGATTGTTTAAAGTTGGAACCTGTTGTAAACTACACTTACATATATATATATATATATATGGAAAAAGCTTGGGTGAGCCCACTAGCTCACAGAAAAAAATGAGTCCAACGGCCCAAATTGAATCTAGGCCGATCTGATGATCATGGATATCCGATAGTGTTTTAATTTTTTTCTACAAATTCAAACTACTTGAAATTTTAGGCATGCGTTTCTATCGTCAAGCCACATCTAATAAAAATATAAAAATAATAATTCACTAAAAATCATTAACCAAAATCCCTCAAAACTTTTCGATGGTATTTTGATCAATTTATTCATGTAAAA